GTGCATTCTGATTGTTATTTATTCTGTGCCCATACAAATCAGCTCGATCTTTCATAGACGTCAATATTTAATTTTAATAAGGGTATTTTAAACAAGAAAGATGTAATTGTGGTTACATTGAGAATTTTATAATTATGTTGATTTTAAATATACAAAAATATTTCTTATAATTAGTAGTATAAATTTTACGCAACAATTGTTTAATTTTAATAATTCAAAAAATAACAATTTTTAAATAATTGTAAATAGTAATTATCAAATATTGCTTAATAGCTTTAAAAACTAATTATTGTGTATTGTAATTGTGTTTTGAAAAATGAAAAAACGACTGAATAGTCACTGTATAAGAGATGGTGGCTAAATTATGTCCTTTATGTGATCTTTTTAAAAATTTTTAAAAAGTGAAAATAGAAATTTTGAAACTGTAAATATTTTTTTCGTTTTAAAACCCAGTTGACTAGTTATTCTTAACTAGTTGACATTTTAAAAATTCCTCATTTTTTACCTGTTCAGATGTTTTGGCAACACTGCGAGTGTGGTATTATCCCTAAAATATTACAATTTATAAAAAGAATAAGTTAAAAGAAACGTGTAACACATTTTGCATTTGTTTATATAAAATATGTTTTTAATAAATCAAACCGAGGACATATACAAGAAACAGCCTCGGTTGGAATGTGTGACACACCAGAATCGTGGATCAGGACCTTGTTGTTGTCGTAGGCTGATAAAACAAACTTAACCCACTTATGAACGACTGCTGATATAGCAAGGACTATTATAAAAGAGACAACAAATATTATCTGAAAGATTAGAACTAAATTAACGTCAAGATGGCAAGTCGATATACACGTATGTGTAATTATGAAGTAGTCTCAGAGCAACGTGAACTTAGTACTAATTACATTTAAAGATAAGTAACATTGTAAGAGTATACAGTAGTGTTTTAAATAAATGTATCATACGATACCATAAGCGAAGCCTTATTTATTACATGGCAATCCTACCTTTTGAATAAGGAATCTTCTGATCCGAAGAAACTAATGAAAAATGTCAACTATATACTGAAAATTTAAATGAAAAATGGGGTAAAGTATCCACTACCATTCTAGATATGGAACCCACTAGTTTCGAAATAGAAAATGCATCAACAGCTAAGAAAATTCCCTCCAAATTCCGGACCAAACCCGCCAGGAGCTCCACGAAAACACCTTTGAACCCAGCTTTATTACAGCTCATGACAATGAAAAAAAAACATATTTAAAATATAGTATATAAGTAAATTTATTTTTTATCCTTTATATACCTAAATTATACAGTCTAACAGAAATTATTAAGTATTAGTTGAATATAATAATTTAACTAGGTCAAGTTCAGAATGTTGAGTACACAATTTTTATTGCTTTTAAAAGTAGGGTATATAATTTATTTTTAAGTTATCCCTAAATAACTGTTTATATAACAAATTCTATATGATCCGCATATTTAAATTTTTACTTACGATCCAAGAAGAACTAACAAGTATGGAGTTTTTTTGACAGAAAAAAAAAATCGATGAACAGAAATATATTCATGTTTTCCAGAAGAGGAAAATAGATATGTCTCAGGACATAAGATTTCGAATAAACAATATCTTACACCTCAGAATGCAAAAGAAACAAAGCGATTGTAACATTTGAAAAGTATTATAGAAAACATGTTATCAATTTTGCGGAAATAGTCGCACCACGTAAAAGATTATCTAGGAAGACAGTAAAGTTTAATAGACTACTGAATGTCAAGAAGCATTTAATAATCCCAAGACATATCTAATAAGCCCCCGTTATGAAATTCCCCGATTTATCGAACGAAAACAAATTTATTTTAAGGATTTATGCTTCAGAAATAGCATTAAGAGACTTGGTGAGATTTTGGCTCACAAATGTGAGTGCAGAAGATTATATAAAAAAGATAATATTGAAAAAAAAAGAATAAGAAGGGATGAAAAATAAGATTCAACCAATTCTTAATGAAATATGAAAATATTAAAAAAATAATAATTTTTTTAAGGAAAAAATATAAAAATTTGTATAGTACAAGATAAACATAATACAATCAATACATATAGTACAAGATAAACAAGACAAGAAGAGTTATAATTAACAACTTACACATGTTACAGGAAGGATATGGAAGAATAGATAGGATGCGAAACGTCTTTAATAAATAGATGAAGTAGCCATCATTTTTGTCTTTTTTCTCCACCTTTTGACCGAAAAAAACCCACCATTCATCTGAGTGATCCTTTATATATATATATATATATATATATATATATATATATATATATATATATATATATATATATATATATATATATATATATATACTTCATCTAATTTAGATAACGACTTACGTCATTATTTACGTCAGAGATCGAAATTGACATAGTTGCCAAAGTATAAAAAAATCCTGACTCCATTTTAAATCAAATAGATTACATAATTATTGCAAAAGTATTACCATCTCTTTACAACAACTATTTAAATTCTTACGTGACATTTTTGAAATAAAACACACTAATTTTGTTCTAAAAAGAACAGATTTTATTAGATAGTTAAAAATATAAAACAAGAGATATTCACTTTAAAATTTAAAATAATGAAGTACAAAAAGTGTCAACACCGCAACTGTCAAATAAGTGTTACCAATTTGTGCCAAAATTTTACCTTCGTTCGATTACAGTTACAGTGTGTTCCGAACAAATGTTCTTGATAAAAACGCTTTATAATGCATTTATACAAATTAAATGAAACATATTATTGTGTATTTCTTCAGGTTAACATTAATAGAAATTTTTAAATATGATTTCTACGCGTATATAATAAAATATGTCTAGTGGCTGTAATGTCAGTGTACTCAGTAAAGTGGTTCTAAAAAAGAACACACCTACACCCTAAATATTTTGTGTTGGTATCATGTGACGCCACAGGCTATGACGCCGATGACGTGCATCGTTATATAATTTAAAAGAAGTGTATATATATATATATATATATATATATATATATACATTACAGAAATATAAGGAAATACTATTTGTTGAGAAATATGTGAAATGTAAAGAGATGCGACGATTGCCAAAGGCATAAGCACTCAATCATAAACAAGGAATCCATGAACATGTACATGGATGAAAATGGAAACAGATATATATTGAACACATATATACATATATATATATATATATATATATATATATATATATATATATATATATATATATATATATGTATTTATATATATATATATATATATATATATATATATATATTTATATATATATATATATATATATATATATATATATATATTTATATACATTACAGAAATATAAGGAAATACTATTTGTTGAGAAATATGTGAAATGTAAAGAGATGCGACGATTGCCAAAGACGTAAGCACTCAATCATAAACAAGGAACCCATGAACATGTACATGGATGAAAATGGAAACAGATATATATTGACGTACAATTCGAATCAAGCAACTACGTAGAAGGATATGTAATACAGAATAAAATAAGCCGAAACAGTAGCCAAATCATTGGTAGAAAAATTTATCTTGAGGTATAAAGTACTCAGAAAAATTGTAGCAGACCAAAGCACGGAGTTTATGGATAGAATAACTATTAAGGAAGCAATACTTGGCATTGCTGCAAAAAGAATCAATGAATATACTCGTAATATATAAATGTACTTTTTTGTGTTTTCGTACAATATATTAAACAAAAGAAATAGGGATAAATGAATATATGGATAAAACGGTAAAACTTTATTGTGAGATGTCGAAGTGATTAACCGTGTATACAAAAAGTGAAAACAGAACTATTACTTAGTACCAATAATTAATATAAGATTTTATCATTGTAATTTTTATTAATTATGTAAAATATGTAAATATTGTAAATATTATGTGCACATAATCATAATAGTGGGTAATATGTAATATAATCTAAATCTAATCTAATAAATAACATAAGGCATAATGAAGAATAATAGATAGCATATTACAAGAAAACAATCAGGGTAACCTTATAATATGCTGATATTAGGTTAGGTAAGGTTACTACATCTAAAAAAATAAAGAAAAATTTTTTACTAAATATAGGGAAATATTTACCAAAATTTGTATAAATATGTATACGGTACCATAGATAAACAGTATTTATTTGAGGTTGAAAATTTCTCTTCTTCTAAAGGGAAAAATATAGAGAAATGAGACAGTTGCAAGAGAGAAATTTTTTTCGTAAATGGGATGGTGTGGTATTATCCCTAAAATATTACAATTTATATAAAGAATAAGTTAAAAGAATCGTGTAACACATTTCGCATTTGTTTATATATAAAATATGTTTTTAATAAATCAAAACGAGGACATATACAAGAAACAACCTCAGTTGGAATGTGCGAGTCAGCAGAATCGTGGATCGCGTTGAGTTTGTCGTAGGCTGATAAAACAAACGACCCACTTATGAACGACTTCTGATATAGCAAGGACTATTATAAAAGAGACAACAAATATTATCTACAAGATCAGCTAAATTAACGTCAAGATGGCAACGTCAACTAAGTACTAATTACATTTAAGATTAGTAACATTGTAAGAGTGTAGAGTAGTGTTTTAAATAAATGTACAATACAATACCATAAGCTTTATTTATTACACGGGGTTCTAACCTCATAAATCTTGAATTATGTGAAATGATTTTTGTATGAAAAATTCTATAATACAAATATACTAAGTGCTACAATACAGTAACGTTCCCCCAGTGCGACAATGAAAACTGACGAAAAGTAGTCCCTGTATCTCTTTCTAATGTGCCACGTTTATAATAATGTTCAAATGAATCGAACCTTACCCTATCAAACTTTAGACAGTTGCACAAAGTGTTTTTCCGTTGCAATTGTGTTTATTTCACATAATTTTCTGTTAAATTAATATTTGATTAATTATTTTAGATAATCAAGCAGGACATTTGACCAAAATTACGTATTGTCAGACTGAAATAAATAATCCGAGCACTAAAGAGAAATTAATTACTACCAGTGACAAGGTCACATCCTACCACGAACTAATTGGTATCGTAAGAAAAGAAGATTCCAATAATAATAGCACAGATGCTTCTTATTACATTTCCCATAATTCTATAGCAACTTCCACTGAAACTACAAAAGAAAAAGACAAGATCTTCAAATCTAACGATAATTCAGTTAAGGTGGTAAAAACTGTTATGACGGCCAAAGGATTGAAAGGTAAAGAAAACAAAGCAAACTGTGCATCAAATGTTACTCCAGAAGAATTGGTTCCTAGATCAAATATTGTTGTTGAAAAAGTGGATAACCAGATTGAAGAAGATCATTACATATCATATCCCACTAATGTTAATATCACCAGCAAAATAACTGAAACGAAAGAAATGCCACATATTAATACTGTTTGTACAATTGAAGTTCAAACCAATGACGACTTTATAATGTCAGAGGTTCCTTGTTCAGAAAAAAAGGAAATTGGAGTAAAATCTTTGATAAAACATAAAAAACCTCTGACACGAAGACCTGGCTATATTGAGGAAACACCTAAAACTCCTAAAAAGACTTCTAGAATACCTCAGTGTCTTAATAAATTACCCAAGGACGCTCAGGAATTAAATACAGTTGACAACAAACGCCTAGACATACAAGACATTGCAAAGGACGAACAATCATTATACAAATTAAAGGATAAACCTGGAGATATTGCTATTACGAATTTGAGTCAACACAACAAAGATATAAATATAAAGAATGAACCAAAAGAAGAAGTTAAAGATCCAGCAATACATTATCCAAGAAAACAAAAAGAAAACAGTTCCAATGTAGTTCCTTCTACGAGAATACCACGAAAAATAAAGCAGCATAGTGCTCCTCCTACTAAAGAAATAAAAACTACAGACAACCACGGAGGAGAGTATCTTCTTAAGAAGTCTCAATCAGAAATTAGCCTAAGAAAGCTGAATTCTGGTAGAGAAAAGGGAAGAACATCAAGTCTTATATGTCTACATAGATATGTTAACAACCCAAATTTAGCAGATAGCTCAAATTCTGGCATGGATAGCTTCTATTTAGGCAGATCTGTGGTAATTGAGCCGAATATAACAAGCCGACTTCTATTGACTAAGGACTATAGGCCACCTCAAATGAGTTCTTACCAGAGAAGGAAAATATACGATAAGAATATAAGAAGCAAACTGAAGAAGAAGATGTATCTTCATGAAAAGAAAGTAAGACAAATCTTTGAAGTAAGATATCTGACATTAGGTAAGAACATGGAGGCAAGCAATCCTAAGATTTTGAACAAAATACCCGAAAATTCAACAGGAGAAAGTATAGAGCGATCCGTTGATGAATTTATGGAAGAAACTCTTCGATTGTTAGTAAAAAAGAACTCTGAGAATCTTTTAACCTTCATCCAGGAAAACATAGATATAGTAAAGCGTCTAAATGTGGTTGAACTATTACGAAGATTGGCAGATTCAGCGGAATGTTCAAAATTACAATCGAAAGTAAACAAAGACACTTCTAAAGAAGTTATCAACTTTTTTATAGCTTTAAATCATTGCTTAAGAGCATTCTCCAACTTTGAAACGTTTGAAAATGCAGCAACGCACGTTAAAGAAGCAGTATCATCCAACGATAGTACTATAGTACCAAGTTCAGAAACGTACAGCATAAGCAAACAATCTGGTATTACTCGGAATTGCAGCTGCCGCACAATTGAACCTTCAAATTCTTCATTTGATTTCTTATACCAAGATGACGATAATCAAAATCTAGTAGAACAAAAAATTAATTTTAACCCCATTCTAGGATTTACCTTCAAACACAACTCTAATATAAAGCAGAACGAAACTGGTAGTTTTGTGGAGTCATATAATTCCGAAGAGAGCGGTTATGTCAGTTCGGAAAAGTCAAAACATGACCCTTTAACTTTCTTCAAAAGGCCAATCATGGCAGAATTGTTACGACCTCGTGCAGAATTGTTTGGAAACACTTCTTCGTGTTATGAAATGAAAAATGAATCGATAGATACAATAAAAGAGGATATTGCTCCAAGTACCACTAGTTATTATCCTTATGTAGAACTTTGTGATTCCATTCACGTTAATGCACATTCAAATAATGCAAAAGATGGAAAATATATGATCGATGTGAATGACAAAGACGATAATCTAATATTAGAAACAGTCCAAATGTCCACAAACATTAGTTTAAAGAGATATTCATACCCACAATACTATAAAAATGAAGATACTGATAAATTACTGAAATTGGTCACACAAAAAAGGAACTCTCGTGGATTGAAATTAAAAAAAAGTATCAGCGATGTAGATTTTACTCAAAGAAAAGAAGAGTTTACTATTCCCAAACGAACTCAAAGTGAAATGGCATTCCCTAAATACTCCCAAATTGGTGGTACATTACATTATGATGACAAATGTAAGCATGTTTTTCAATATATGCCTCTGTTTAAAGAAATAATTGAAAATGATTGTCTAGAAGACATCGTAGTATTAAAAAAGCTTCTGGATCCTGAAGTTTACTTGATATCTACCAACTTCAATAGTGACTACATCACACTACATATTGACACGGAAGAACAGAACACCACAAACATAAATAGTTCACTTTTTGACAAAAATCTACTAATAAAATATGATTCAAAAGCTTGCAGTTGTATTTCTGATGTGAAAAAGCTAACGACAATGAAGTTTTTTGAAAATTTATTGCACGTTTATGAAAAAGAAGCAGCTTTTAGCTATAAACTCTTTGGTGACAAAATCTTTTTGGAGAATGAATTGTTTTCAGTTGTACCAAAGATCAAACAAGGAAAAGGCAAAGGAAAGTTCAGTAGAAAAATGAGATTCTTTTTCAAAAATATTTTTTTCGGTAAACCAAAAGTAAAGAGTAAACAGTCTTTGGATAATGATAACGAAGTGGTAAGTATCATAATATATCATTTCTACAATAGTTCTGCAAAATATGATCTTTTTGGAAGATAGTAATGTGATTAAAATTTTGAAGGTCTTTTCAAAGCACTTTATCAGATTTTGTTTTTTTACTTTCCATTGGGCATTATAATATCTATCGGAATATTTGTAAAAAGTATATACAGCAAACTAACATTATAACTACACAAACTGTCGTAAAATAGATCAATAATCGTAATTAATTTTAAAAGTTATATCTGACACACCCCTTATAATAATAGACATATAATTAGCATGCATTTTAAGATGACAACTTTGTACAGAGTATTCCAAGCAATTTATATATATCAAGAAAAAAATTGGTCCTAATGTTGTCACAGTCGTAGTCTGCTTCAGCTGGAATAATATAGCAGTGACATTTAGTCACGTTTTATTCTGCTGCACCCACAGACCACTAATAATCACTTCGGTCCGCTACCCAAAACGTTGCGCTGGTCCATGGATCGTATTTGTGAAAGTGGCAGAAAGTAAAGCATTTTCGACAGAGCGTTATTAAAATAATGGAGCAGTCGCTATCATATAATAATGGTCATTATTATTTGCTATTTGTAACATAAGGAACGACGAAAATAGCAGTGTTAAAAAGGCCATAGTAGTGCGAACTTCTTCCTCCAATTTCAAAACTCTATCTAACATGTAAAAAGTGGCATATAAAGTACTGCTTGCTTTATGAGCAAAGAGCGAATAAGAAGAATCTTACGGTGCCTTATCCTTAAGGACGTTGGCCATTACATTTGCCCATTTAATCTTATTTGTAGCAGCCCTGAATAGTTCATGTTCGTCCATTGCCGTAGGTTTTTAAGCCAAGAGTTGCGTCTTCTTCCTGGTCCTCTTTTGCTATTGAGTTTGCCTTCGATTATAAGTTGGAGCAGTTCATACTTTTGATTTCTTATGATGTGACCAAAATATTGTGTTTTCCTTTCTTTTATTATAAGCATAAGCTCTCTTTCCTTATTCATCCTCCGCAAGACTTCCGCATTTGTCGTATGGCTCATGTAGGATATTCTGAGCATTTTACGGTAACACCAGAGTTCGAATGCTTGGATTCTTTTTTGTGTTGCTTCTGTCATTGTCCAGGCTTCAACACCATAGAGCAAGGTGGAGAAAACATAGCACTTAAGTATTCTAGTTCTCAATGAGATGCCCAGCTGGCGGTTGCATAGAACTTTTTGCATTTTGTAAAACATTGTACGTGCCTTTTCCCAGCGTATTCTTATCTCTAGTGAGTGGTCTTAAGTTTCATCAAGATTACTTCCAAGGTACGTTGTTCTTGTTACTCTTTCCAGATCTGTTCCGTCGACATTGACCTTCACCCTTCTGTTTTGGTGCTTGCTAATGACCATCGTTTGTGTCTTCTTTGTATTCAATTTCATTCCAAATTCTCTACAGGCTGTCGTTACTCGGTCCATTAAGCGTTGCAGGCCTTCAGCCAGTATCTGCCTTATCTGCCAGTATGACAGTATCATCAGCATATCGCAGGTTATTTATACATTGCCCGTTTATAATTATACCATCCGAGGTGCCTTCCAAAGCTTTCTGAAATATCTTCTCAGAGTAAACATTGAACAGCAAAGGTGATAGGACACATCCCTGTCTTACTCCCTTCTCGATATTGATTTTTCCAGATGTTTCGCTTTTTATTCTGATTTTAGCCTTTTGTTCTTGGTAGAGGTTTGAAATGATCCTTAATTCTTTATCGTCGATATTACATGACCTTAAAATATCTATTAGTTTATCATATTTCACCAGGTCAAACGCCTTCTGAAAGTCTATAAAATACAAGTATACATCAGAATCGACATCTCTACATCTTTCATCTAGCACACGTATTGAAAAAAGTGCTTCTCTTGTTCCGAACTCATTCTTAAAAGCAAACTGAGTTTGACCAGTGTGTTCGTCTAGTTTATTGTATACTCTATTGTGTATTACTCGTAGGAAAAGCTTCAATATATGATTCATCAGGCTAATAATCCTATGGTCTTCATATTTTTTGGAGTTTCTCTTCTTTGGTAGTGGTATAAACACCGATGTCAGCCAATCATTTGGTATTATGCCTGTTTCGTATATTTTGTTAAATATATCTTCCATTACTTCGATGTGTTCGTCTAGTAATATCTTTATTATTTAAATTGGGATAATATCTTCCCCAACAGCTTTTCCGTTCTTTAACTGATTTGCCGCTTTGATAATTTCTTGTTTTGTGATATAAGGTCCAGTCGATGCCACCTGCATGTAAATGTTCGTCCTCTCTCGGTCTTGAAACATCTCTTCCACGTATTCTCTCCATCTACCTATTTGATCTTCTATGTTCAGTGGCGGGTTCCCATGTTTATCTTCGATGAAAGACGTAGGAGTTTGTTTAAATATTCCAGCGGCTTCTTTTACTTTTTTCTGTAGATTGAAAGTATCATGTCTGTGTTTCAACTCTTCAATTTCTTGGCATCTTTCACTTAGCCAGGTTTCTTTGGCTTGTTGGATCTTTATTCCGATATTCTTGTGTATTTGCTTGTATGTTGTTTCATTTTTACCTCTGTATTTTCTTCTTTCGTCCATCATGTTTAGAATTTCTTCTGTCATCCATGGTTTGTTCTTTTTTCGTGTATCTTATTTGAGGTAGTCTTCTGTTACTCTTGTAAGTGTTTTCTCAATATAGTGCCATTCTTCCTCGCGAGTCTGTGTCGATTGTACTGTTCTGTTACTCAAGTGTCTATGTATTTCTTCCCGTATTTTATTACTAGTGGATTCTTCTTTAAGCTTATCTAGGTTAATAGCTATTATTTGCTTATTTATTTTTGTTCTTTTAAATTATATCCTAATTGTTGAAAGAAGAAGATTGTGGTCGGTGGGTATGTCAGCTCCAGGGTATGTCTTGCATGCTTTTACTGCGTTTTGTATCTTTTGTTGACCATTATGTAATCGATTTGATTTCTTGTGATGCGTCCTTCTATTCCATCTGCTGGAGATTTCCACGTGTAGAGACGTCTCGGTGGTAACTTGAAAAAGCTGTTTATTATACTGTACTGATTTTCTTTACAGAACTGAAGCAGTCTATCTCCCCTCTCATTTCTTATTCCGAGCCAAACTCCCACACCGTGTCATCTTCTCTTCCTTTTCCAATCTTGGCGTTAAAATCTCCTAATATTATGTTAGTTTCATACTTCTTTGTCTGCAGTAGAGTTTTGTTTAGGTCTTTGTAGAATTGTTCTATTTCTTCTTCTGTGATTTGACTAGTTGGGGCATATACCTGGATAATATTCATATTGACTGGTTTGCTGTCTATTTTTATTAGTATTATTCTATTTGATGTTGGTAATAATCCAGAAACTAATTTTGCAATTTCATTAGATGTAATTATTGCTACACCGTTTTTATTTTGAGTGCCTTCATCTCCATAATAGAATACTGTATAGTTGCCCATCACACAGGTACCTGTATTTGGCCATCTTACCTCACTGCATCCCAGTATATCGATATCAAGTCTTTCCATTTCTTGAATTAAATTTGCGGCCTTTCCCGCTTCATATAGACTTCTCTCATTCCATGTGCCTATTCTTTTTGTTTTCTTCCGGGGGATTCTTAGCACCCTCTCCTCATTTAAGAGGTGCCCGGGACTGAGGGCCGTTGTTTTAGGTTCCATGAGCATTATGTAATTTTGCTGGGGAAATATTAGTGTAGTGGTTTCCCGTTGCCTTCTACACCGCTGTACATGTGCCGCTTCTGTGAATGTCACCACGCCACATGTTGTCTAATTCACAGCCATTTCAGTCTGCCTGTGGTTAGTGTTGGATTAGCCAGCTGCCACTTTCCAGTGCTAGTTTTATACAATCCCTAAAACCATTGGGTTGCCACCTCCGCTCTCCAGACCGTTGTGAAGACCTTCTCCTCCGCCCTGGATACCATTGTGGACTTCATCCGTGACTCTGGACAAGGGACCCTTAGCAGGTTCTAGTTTCCCGGGTCAGGAAACACCTGGAATCTGCGGAAGGCAAGAATTGATTCACTTCCCCTGATAGGACTATCCGAAAGGAGTTCCTATCCGCTACCTATATAAGAAGAATAGGTATTATTTAATAATTCTTTTTAATAAATATTTCTTCGAATACGAATTCGAATTCGAATTGGGGGGATTCCCGTAAGTTCCCGTAATCTGACGAAGTTTCGATCAGTATTTATCTGCGACGCAAGCAACGTTTATTGACTCTCACCGATAGCAGCTAAGATTAAACTGCTCCAAAAAATCACTACTTTTTGTCACCGTAACAATACTGGAGCATTCACATATTGTTGCAGCTACACAAAAATCGCAGATTCGCCCACCACTACTCAAAATTGATTCTTCAGTGGAAAAAATGCAAAGGCTACGGACACAGAAGGCACTATTGTGCTAAACCGCCTAATTATGTCAAATGTGCTGGTAAACACCCCATAAGCTAATGTACAAAACACGCAAACCAGAAGCATAAATGCGTTCACTACGGAGAGCCAAGGAACTACAAAAAATTTAAATGAATTGCTCATAAAAATCAGGTTCTACCCAATATGTTCAGAGGGACGAGCTAAAAGAAATACAAATAATAACTTCGAAAGAACTAGAAACCAGTGGGAAGAAGCTAGAATAAATACTAATAAAATATACTAATATAATATAAATACTTCGAGAAAAACCAAAATACAAAGTCCTTAGTAGTAAGCGCTAATAAGACATATGCACATACTGCTAAAGGTATCTACTAAGACTAGAAGGGTAGCAAAATCTAATAATCAATAAGACTCGACTGTAAAAACCAGTATTTAAGTGCTTATGGAAAGACTGACTGACCAGGAAAGGTCATTTAAAAGAATTGAGGAAAGATTGACTAGAAGCCATCCTAAAAAAGAAAATAAAATGGCCAGCGATCCTAAAATAATGAGTTCAAATATCGACGGATTATTGCAAAGACAACAAGAATTGCAACCAACCATGAATATGAAGAAATTGATATGAACACTCCTCACTAAACAATCATTCATTAGATTTAAGGGATACAAAGATTACCACACCATACATTCTAAAGATAATGCAAGTGGAGGTAGTGCGGTAATCAGAGAAAATCTTCAATATAACAAAGAAGTAAAATTTAAAGCTGAAGATCTTCAGGCAACGGTTTTAAACGTTAGGACCAAGAACTATGACGTGGCAGTTATTGGTTTATATAGTCCTAAAAAATACAACATCAAAGCTGAAAGATATACTACACTTTTTGAAATCGCGGGCGATCAGTTCATCATGGAAGGAGATTTTACCGCGAAACACACACAACGGGGTTCAAGAGTCATAACAACAAAGGGTAAAGAATTGCTCAAAGCGATAAATGAGAATAAGTGTGAAGACTCAACAGGAAAGCCTACGTATTGGCCCACAATATCTAATTTCTGATTTAATAGACTTTTACATGATTAAGAACATATCGAGCAACTATATACAAATTGAAGAGGAAACTCGGATCATACTATCATTGAATTTACTATTAGTGTAAATATCATTCAAAAGCCTACAACCCTGGGTTGATTAACATTAAAACGGACTGGGACAACTTTAGAATTACACTTGAAGCAAGAATTTATTTGGCAGTGCCATTCAAAACTAAAAAAAAAGACTTAGATGCTGAGGTGGAAAAACTCAAAACCAATATTTACCAAGCGGCCTGTGAAAATACCACTGAATTACTAAAATGATTGAAAGGAAAAAACTATCCTAAGAAAATCTTGGAATTAGTATATGAAAAAAGAAGAGCAAGAAAAAATTGCAACTAACCCGAGCACCACAACATGGAATAAAAGTAAACCAACTTGCCTTACAACTAAAAAGAGAGATTAGGTAACTTAGCAATGAATCCATTAGCGAATTACTGATACGTTTGACAAATGATGCTAGTACTGCATACCCACTATGGAAAATCATCAAGAAATTAGGGAGACCAAGTATGCAAACACCTCCTATAAATATCCTCTTATAGCCTCCTATAACTATGCAAACTATCTCGAAAGTGTTTTCCAACCATATATAGTAGACATAGATTAATCTCTCCCAGAAGTTGTTCGACAAGATGATGTGGTTATTTCTTTAATCACTCCAAAAGAGATTAAAAATGAAATCATCACAAACGTTAATCCAAAAAGGCCACCAGCTACGATCTGATAACTGGGCAAGTCCTTAAGGAGCTACCTAGAAAGGCCCTGGTTAAACTTACCAATCTTATTAATACATCGCTTCGTTTATATTATGTTCCACGACTATGTAAAGTAGCTAAGATCATCATGATTCCAAAACCAAGTAAACGTGAAATGTCGTATCGGCCAATATTCTTGCTACCGATTATGTCTAAACTGTTCTACAAGCTCTTGCTCAAGGGGCTAAAACCTATTATCGAAAGAAAGATTACTCATGCCCGATCACCAATTCGTATTCCGAAATCAGCATTCTACAATTTTTGGATCAAGTCCATCGGATAACGGACGTGATCGGAAGATCACTTGAAGAAAAAAAGATTTACTCAGCATTACTTTTGGATGTATCACAGGCCTTCGACAAGGTCTGACACGAAGGATTGGAGCATAATATAAAATGGCCCTTCCTGTGGAATACTCAAAGATCTTAATTTCGTATTTGTTACAGAAATAATTCAGGATTAAACAGGAAAATGCTTATCCTGAACTAAGAAAAATTAGTCCAAGGGTACCACAGGTAAGTGTACTGGGACCCGTCTTATATCTCCTGTATACCAAAGACCTGCCAGTTTCTGACTGATATTATACTAGCTGCACAGCAGTGAGCTCTTGTGTTTTGATATACGCCTCCTTATTTCGTTGTTTAATACGATTGAAAATAACCATTCTTCTTCTTCTTTAAGTTCCATCTTCTATCGAAGGTTGGAAATCATCATGGCTATGCGGACTCTGTTGACTGCCGCTCTAAAAAGTTCTGCACTACTGCATTCAAACCATTCCCTTAAGTTCTTAAGCCAGGATATTCTTCGTCTTCGTCTGCATAATAAGTTGTAATAATGCATATTTTTGCCCTCTCATCACATGTTCCAAGTACTCAAGTTTTCGTCTTTTAATAGTTAATATTATTTCCGCCTCATTTCCTATCCTTCTAGTTACTTCCATGTTTGACATTCTTTGAATCCATGATATTCGTAGGATTCTTCTGTAACACCAAAATTCAAAGGCGGCCAGCTTATTCAGATGAACTTGTTTGAGTGTCCAAGCTTCCAGACCATAAAGAAGAGTAGAGAACACGTAACATCGAAGCATTCTCAGGCGTAGTTCTAACCTTATATCCCGACAACAAAGAAACTTTTTAAGTTTAATAAATGATGTACGTGCTATTTCAGTACGTGTCTTAATTTCTTTGGTTTGGTCTACATCTGATGTTATCCATGTTCCTAAATATTTATAATTATTAACCTTCTCAATTGCAGTATCTTCAATAGTCAATTGGATATTTGCATGTGCAGATTTAGTCATGATCATGCATTTAGTTTTCTTTAAATTTATCTTCAGTCCGTACTCATGACAGCGTTCATTAAGGCGTTACATTAGGTTCTGTAAATCAAGTCATAAAATAACCATACACGAATGTTTTAGATATACCCACTGGATGAATCATTCCAAAAAAGTTTTCAAATATTAGCAGACTATGCAGTTAAACAGTTTTCCCAATTGTCTGCAGCAGTATGGACTAACTTTGAGAAAAACGACGAGTACAACATTTATGGTTTTTTAACATTGTTACATAAGATCAAAAGTGGCCATTTTACCTTTATAAAGGTAACCAATTTAAACTTTTTATCAGTTGTATTTCTGTGAATAATTTGGGTCTTTAAACTTTACCCCATTATCGCCCATTATTATATTTTTTGTTTTTTTTTTATTATTAAATTTTTTATTAACTACTAATAGTTATGGAAAGCTAAATGAAAATACTGAACTATTTTTATTAATTCTAATTTATTGTTCTTAATTTAATTTACTAAAGGTTCTATTTATAACACTCTCGAATTTATTAAAGTCTTTATTTGTACTAATTTATTTTACAATAAATTATTACGACCGTACCTTTAAATACGCGAGCGCGAATTTATCTTCTTACCAACTGGCCACAATAAAAAATCCTGTTATTTATATCCAAACACTGTTATCTAGAAAAGTCTGGGGAGTCATTCCGATTATACCAGAAAGTAAATTGGCTTGGTTATCGTTCGACCGGTTTCTGGAAGCTTCAAACGACCGTTTCAGGTATATTTCTACCAGCTAATCGAAGGGTCTCGTCGAATCTACAACATATGAGTAAATAAACAACATGTTTACCAGTTTTTTTAATATGACTAATTTTTACGTAACAATACTTTAATCTTTCGTAAAAGTATCATTTCAGTACTTATCTGTAATTGTTCTTTTATTGTCTGTTTTTCGTTTGTTCTTCATGTGATTCTAAATATCTTTCAATTCATTCATCAATCTTATCACATTAAGCCGTTAAAAGTCACCACTACTATTGTGTTTTCTCCTTTGTTATTTAATTATAATTCCATTAGAATATTTTTTTTTTATTTTCCTTTAGATTGCTTTTGTCATTTTCATTATTTCCTTGTTTTTCGTATGCTCTTTTGTTGGCATACTTATAATAATATTATATGAATATTTTTTTAAGTTCTTCTTAAGTTCTCTTAGCTTGTGTTTATTTTTCATAATTATTTCTTTTTTTTTCTTTGCTTTGTTTGATATATACTGTGTTACTACCTTCCCCCTAAATTTTGTGTATATCTTGGTGATATCTTACTCATCCTGTACTCATCTTACTGAGTACAGATTAGGCACTTGAATCAGCCCAATTTTGAATCTTCCTCGATAAGAGTGCGTGCACAACGCTGCACTGTTCCATGCTTTTTCTGTTCAGTATAAGCTGATTGTCCAACTTTATTATTCCATGGTGCATTTTTAGTCATTCCTTATTGCCAGTTTGATACTACTATTGATTTAATATTCATAATATAAAACAATATAATAAAACGCTATTTTTAAGGTATCCAAATTTACAAACATAGAAGAAGAAATGAAAAATCAACTTAAACAAGCTTTTCATAATGTGTATCGAAAAGCATACAATGAGGCCTATCATTTACAAAGAAAATTTAGCGAGAATGATATAAGACTTGCTGTAGCGTTAGTGTGTAAATATAGAGCTGCTTTATTGATACAAGATGATTTAGTTGCTTCTTATTTGGGAAAAGGATTTTTTGAGAGTGAATTGGAGCTTAAAGGTACGAAAAATATTTCTTAATTTCATTATCATACTACTACTTCTTCTTTTTATGTAGACATGACTGTCTGTTTTTCAATATACCTCCAATAAGTTGTCGTAATATAACCTGGGTATATTTATGGATATTGAGGGTGCCTTCAGTTGCGCTACTTTGATTCCATGTGTGATGCTGCGAAAATGCATGGGGTTGGCTGCAGGTTGATCAGGTGGATCCAGGTCCTGCTTTCTCAAAATCCGACAGCTTCGTACCGAAACGGTTGTTGCGTTCGGTTATCGGCATCTCGTGGTTGCCCTCAGGAAGGAGTTTTGTTCCCCTAGTGATGCTTGGTAGTTGACAGCCTTCTTTAGCAACGGTCCGAACAAGGTATATATGCGCAAGCCTACGCCGATGAGGTAGTTATACTGGTTGAGGGGCTCTTTCCGGGAGCGATGCACAAAGTCGCCTAAATGAGCCTTAGGCTCGTTGAGGAATGGTGCCGGGAGCAGGCATTCGGGGTTAATCTTGAGAAGACTACTGCGGTTCTGTTCACTCGGAGAAGGACCTACTAGAGAGCTGACCTTCTATGGTAAAATTGTATAGGTTTCCAAATCAGTGAAGTACCTAAGAGTGATCCTGGATTCTAAACTTTCATGGGGGAACATTTTGACGCCAATATTAAGAAGGCTGCGGTAGCTTTTTGGGAGTATAGAAAAGCTTTCAGAGTCAAATGGGGTCTTCTTCTTCTTCAAGTTCCACTTCTATCGGAGATTGGAAATTATTCTGGCAATTATAATTTTATTGGTTACTCGCCTGAATAGTTCAATTGAACTGCATCCAAACCACTCACGGAGATTGCGTAGCCACGAGATTTTACGTCTTCCTACGCTTCTTCTACCTTTGATTTTACCCTGCATTATATTCCTTAGTAGTTCGTACTTTTCACCTCTCATGATGTGCCCCAAGTATTCCAATTTCCTGATCTTTATGGAATTTAAAACTTCGCATTGTTTTCCTAGTTGTTCGAGAACTTGTTCGTTTGTTTTGCGATCCATCCATGATATTTTCAAAATGCGTCGATAACACCACATTTCGAATGCTTCTAGGTTTTTAATGTTGGATTTTTTAAGTGTCCAAGCTTCAACTCCATACAAAAGGGTAGAGAAAATATAACATCGAAGCATTCTTATCCGGAGCGATATATTGATATCGCGATTACAAAAAAGTTTTCTCATTCTATTAAAAGTTGACCGCGCAATTTCAATGCGGCATCTTATTTCTTTTGTCTGATCAGTATCTTCTGTGATCCATGCTCCATGGTATTTGTACGAAGATATTTGTTCAATTTCTGTATTATCTAGCACTAGCTTAACTTTGATGTTTTGTGCTTTTGTAAATTCCATGAACTTGGTTTTCTTCAAATTGATTTTTAGTCCATAATCGTTGCAATATATATTTAGTTGTTCAGCAAGGTGTTGCAGTTCTTCTAGTGTTCCTGCCAAAAGGACGGTGTCGTCAGCATATCTTATGTTATTAAGTGGCTCACCGTTTATTATAAGGCCCTCACTGATCTCGGCAAGCGCTAATTCTGAGATGGCTTCACTGTATAAATTGAATAACAAGGGTGATAAAATACACCCTTGGCGGACCCCACGGCGAATCTGGATATCATTGGTCAGTTCGTTTTCAACTTTCACTTTTGCTGTTTGATTCCAATAGAGGTTACAGATGATTCTAATGTCTCTACTGTCTATGTTTTTATTTAATAAAATTTCTTTAAGTCGATTATGCTGCACTCTGTCAAATGCCTTCTCAAAATCAATGAAACAGGCATATACTTCCTGATTAATATCTAAACATCTCTGCGAAAGAACACTTACTGCAAACAGTGCATCTCGTGTTCCCAGACCTTTACTAAATCCCATTTGTGTATTACTTATGCCTTCATCTAATTTCTTATGTATTCTATTGTGAATTACTTTTAAAAACAATTTCAAGACATGACTCATTAAGGCTATGGTGCGATGTTCATTGCACTCCTTTGCATTGGCTTTTTTGGGAAGCAGTATGAATGTTGATTGGAGCCATTCTTTAGGTATTATACCTGTTCTATATATGGTATTGAATAGATCCAAAAGAAGATCAATAGATTCAGTATTCACAATTTTAAGTAATTCGATAGGAACTTCATCAGGCCCGGGAGATTTACCATCTTTAGCTTGTTTCATTGCATATTCAATTTCTTCTCGTATAATGTCAGGCCCAGTATCATCCTTAAATTCTTTTGGTGCTTCTGTTCTTTCTTTGTCTTCAAATAGTTGTGCTATATATTGTGTCCATCTCTGCATTTTTTGGTTTATATCTGTTATAAGTGCACCCCTTTCATCTCTTAGTTACCTAGTTTGAAGTGTTTTTCTTATTCCTGTTAATTCTCTAATTCTTTTATGCATGTTAAAAAAGTCATATTTTTTCTCAATTTCTTCTAGTTCTTGGCACTGTTCATGTAACATTCTCTCCTTAGCTTCTTTTATTCTCTTTTTTATTAATCGATCAGTTTCATTATATTTAATTGGATTTTTTGTTTTGAATGATTTTCTTTCATTCATTAATATTAGTATTTCTTCAGTCATCCAATCTTTATGTTTTCTATTCTTTGGTTTTAAGTTTTCATTTGCTGTTTTAATTATTGCTGCTTTTATATTTTCCCATTTCTGATCAATGTTATAGCTACTTTTATTCAGTTCTTGGGCATTACGTATATTTTCAGTAAGAGTTTTTACAGTTTGTTCCTTTGTTTGTGGTTCCCTTAATCTCTTAATATCAATTCTACTTTGTGTGGGTTTTTTAACCAGTTTTAATTTGGTTCGTAATGTGACTACTATGGGGTTATGGTCTGAACCGATGTCTGCTCCAGAGTAAGTTTTGGCAGACAGTATAGAATTACGAAATCTTTGTCTGATAAGGACAAAGTCAATTTGATTTCGGATTATTCTATTCGTTGTATCACCGGGAGATTTCCATGTATACAACCTTTTTTTGGTAGCTTAAAAAGTGTATTAGCTATTACAAATTCTTCCGTCTGGCAAAATTGTATCAAACGGTCACCACGTTCATTTCTATTTCCTAGACCATATTCCCCCACATATCCATCCACTCTTCCCTGGCCAACTTTGGCATTGAAGTCGCCCATTACTATTGTAGTGTGATGTTTTTTCATTGATTTTAAGACTTGTTCCAAATCATGGTAAAAGAGTTCGATATCGTCGTCATCTTTATCTGCCGTGGGGGGTCTGCAGCCTTTTATATTGAATGTACCAATCCATGATGAAGGCCTATCCTGACGTATGCGACCAATGTGTGGTGGCCCCGGACTAGACTGGCTTCAGCTGACTCACCTTCAGCGGTTGGCATGCGTTGGCATCTCAGGAGCTATGAGAACCACTTCCACAGTGGCTCTTGAGCCTTTGCTGGATGTATCTTCTATACATCTTATTGTGAGCACAAAGCCATGATGGCAGCCTATCGTCTTAACTGCTCTGGATACTGGTTGGGAATTAATGATAGGATGGGCCATTATGACATCTGGTGACAGGCCGTCGATTGTTGTCCTGTGCTCTCTGTGATACAAGACAGCATGGCCACCTATTTAAATTCTTATCTTCTTTCTTGGTTTAATTTCCTGACCGGGATGGGTGGATGGAACTAGAGCATGCACTGATCCGTCGAAGCGGGCTCACCTAGTTCACGGATGAGTCATAAGTCACGAATCAGTCTTTCAGGCCCTTTTTGCAATGCTAATATGTGTTCAGGAGATAATATATAGGGCTTGCTCAGGCAGGACCATCTGTATCTGCTCTAACAGTCAAGCAGCGCTAAGAGCTTTGGAAGCGCCCAAAATCATCTCTAAACTGGTTCTTGAGTGCAAAAGAGCACTTGCTGATGTTGCTAGGACCAATAAGTTTAACTTGGTATGGGTACTGGGACACAGACGTGGAAGAAAATAACCGGGCTGACGCACTAGCATGACAGAGCTCTTTCAAACTGTCGGTGTGACCTGAACCTGTGATTGGAGTGCCCTTCAGTACAGAGAGCTTCTTCTGCGGAGGTTCCAGGATTCCTACAGGCTAGTCTCCACATAGTGGGGCCATCCAAAAGTCTTACAGCCCAACTTCTTCTAGACCATATAAAGTGCTCTCTGGTGGTCAGTATGCTTACCGGCCACGGTAGACTCGGGCGGCACCTTCATCTGCTTGGATTGGCGGATAGCCCACGGAGGCGTCTTTGTAATGAGAAGGAGGAAACCTCCTCACATATCCTCTGGAAGCGCCCGGCACTGGCCTACTAGAGGTGGTAGATCCCGGGTTCGATCTCTATGTAACCGAGCCAATTGAAGGAGTTATCCTTAAATATATTTGTGAGAGTTTTCTGTGAAGCCACAAGGCTACTAAAGGATTAGATGTTCAGAAGGGCTCAGACTCGGAGCCCCTGCTGATTACTGCAGTTATGGAAGCCCGGAACAGCTGGGTCCCAGAAACGCTAAAGAATATGTCCTTATGGGCCTATCACGTATCATATGGGTGCTTCAATGGACCCGTCTTAGGAGGTCTAGGTGTCTGAAGGGCTCATGAATGGGTCCTGTCTCGATCTACCATATCCATAAGCAAGTTGTCGTTCCGTCGTTTTCGTGGTCTTCCTATTGATTGTCTTCCTATTGATTGTCTTCCTATTGAGGAACCGTCTCTTGCCGTCTTTACTATTCTATCTGTTGTCATTCGGCTTATATGATCGTTCCATTCTACTCTTCTATTACTTACCCAGTTCTTGATGTTCTCCACCTTCATCTACGTCGTATATCTGTACTTCTAGCTCTGTCCCATAGTGTCTTACCATCAACTTGTTTAAGTGTTTTCATCGCTGCTGTTTCTAACATCCTTGTTGTCCCCTCTGTGTACATACTACTTCATACATATTATTTATTCTGTTCTTCATTTACTCTTTCATTTTTCATCAAATTTCATTTATTGTGGTGAGTAATACAATATTCTGCGGTTTCAAATATAAAATAATTGTTTAATATTGCAACTCCAGTGCATTGCTGTTTCTATTTTGAGACGATAAAATATTTCGTAAAACTGCTCGCCACTGCATTTGAAACCAACTGTATATTATTAGGCGTTTTGTATCACCACTCCTCTAATTTCACCAGCATTCAAGCCAGAGCATATTTCTAGACGAGAAGAAGCTCTACAATAATCACAGAAAATATTCTTGTTTTAAATATTACAAATAGTAGGACCTGCGATATCTTAACCTCACTTTAGGAGTTTTCTAAATTCAATACTTGTGAATACCATAAAATAAAGTTACTCACAATTACTGTCAAATCACCAGAAATACACTTTAAAGAAAAAACAAATATATTATTTAACAACACCATAACAAAGGAAGATACGAAAGACTATTGAAGAGATAACAGTAATACCTAAGTATAGATTGAAAACTATAATATATGTATATAACTTCTATTCTTTTATAGAAAAACTTTTATCTCTAATTTGGCTTGTTTGTCTTATTGTTTCAATACGCTTTTTCTTTGTCTATATTTTTATTAAGTTTCTGCATTTGTATTTTTTTACACCTCGCTATTTTTAGTTTCCTTCAACTTTTCTTATTAAAATTTCGTTCGACCTTTCATTTTATTACAAAAATCTATGTATAATGTTTATGTTCTTATTTTGTTTTTAGCTTCAGTGATCTATATAATGAAAGTGTTAAGTAGTATAACAGAACTGGAAGATGTTGAAAATTTTAGAAGAAACACTGAATGTACCTATTGATAAAAAAATTGTTGTGTCTATTAACTACATAAAAATAAATCACTAAGAAATTTTCATCAGTTTAATTTAGTTTTATAAGTAGATAAAATTACAATAGTAGACTGTTATATTTATCGAACTTAGATCGACTTGCGCTAAAAGTATTAATGTCGTCATTGTTTCTAACTTCGCCATTGGATAATTCAATTTTTTTAATCTTCAATGCTAGTGCTATGGTACGTCAATATTGAGCGGAGGAATGCATGATACTATGACTATAAGATAAGATATTGCGCATGTTTTTGTGACGTCATTGGAGACTTGCACGTTCGAAATGTCAGTTTTTGTATATATCAATAAATAATCTTTAATAAATAGTTTGGAGATATCCTTATGTGTACGATTATTGTAATTATTAAACCTCTTAACTTATTTTCGTCTAGTAATTTCATCACAGAATGCATACAAATCTCATTTAACTTTAACAAGAATTCAAATTCTAGTCTCCAATGACGGCATGCGCGAACCCGACCGATTTTGAGCTACGGAAAGATCCTATCTTGTTATTCATAGTATCATGAAGGAATGTGTCCAAGCCAAAATTAATTACTATTACTCATATTACTGCTGGTTCTCGCTTGCGTAAGGGAAAAGCTCTGAACTGAGTAGGGTCTTTTCAGCACTTCACGAAAGACGGACTGGGCGGGACAAATCCTCAATCCCGACACTGCGCGTCCCAATGGCTGGTAGATAACGTTCCTGTATATATGCAGGACAGGTGCGAATAAGGTACAACCAAATAAGCACCCGCGGATCAACTAAGGGCATGACATAGGGCAGCAGCTATGTCATTATTGTACTGGGGCTGTATGATACATACAGTTCTATTATAGTGTAAATTACTCACAGGCTTCAATTACATCTTACTTTAACCGGCTGTTGTGAGACTGTGATCAGGCAGGCAACGGGAATCCACCTGATTATCTTCCCAGAGAGCGTTATGAAATGACGACTAAGCAAGAAAATTCTGTGCTCTACAATCCGGCTAGCAATCGGCGCCATATCGATTCCGGGTCGAATGGTGTAAAATGGGCGACCGGGCAGATGATTGTGGACGACCAGGAAATATCTGCGAAATGGGATACTGGAAGATCAAACTTAACATTACGTAAAAAACACCGCATCGCAACATAGAATGTTAGGGGGCTGCTACAGCCAGGCAAATTGTATATATTAGAAAATAAACTGATCAAGGAGAAGATAGATATCTGTGGGATATCTGAGATATCTACACTGAGACTCCGAAGGACATTGGGAGGCCACACACTACAAATTTTCATGTCAGGAGCTACCGAATCAGGACAAAAAGGTGTAGCAATAACAATTCAAAAACGTTGGGCAAAATATGTACATGAATACCTTCCAGTAAATGATCGAATAATCAAAATAACTCTAAAAGAAACATACCACCCGATACATGAAACCATCTCTAACATTCCCAAAAAAGAACCAATGATGATAATAGGGGATTGGAATGCAAAAATAGGAAAAACTTAAATAGATGACCATTGAAAAGGAACGACAGGTGAGCATGGCTTAGGCGAACTAAATCAATGAGGTGAACGGCTCCTTCAATTTGCCATCGATATGGATATTAGTATAGTAAAGACAATGTTGAAACATCATCCGCGGAGATTATCAACATGGTTTTCGCCTAGAGGACGATACAAGAATCAAATAGATTATATTCTTGTCACTAAACGATGGAGGAGCTCAATAATCAACGTGAAGACAAAACCAACTGCAGACTGTGGTTCCGACCATAAAATGTTGCAAGCAGAATTTCGCATTAAGTTACACAGTAAAACAATCACAAATAAAAGACAAAAATTGATTCCAAAATACCCGGAAAAGTTTAGAGAAGCATTAGCAGAAGCTGACCTACCAAAGACCCTGACAACACGTGGGGATACACAAAGAAGTGAATCACTGAATCAACAATATTAATCCCAAAGACAAAACAGTTGGAAAAAAGCAATGGATGACTGAACAGACTCTCAATCTTATAGAATAAAGACGAAAACTTGAATTCAAACCGCACACACAGATCATCAAAGATAATAGTGGAAATATCATAACAAACCCAGACGGTATCGCAGAGATGTGGAAACAATATTGCGAAATACTATTCTCTAAGAACGACCCACACAATAATACAGAGAAAAGAAGTTATGAAAAATAACCTCAAATATTGAAATCAGAAATTGAGGCGGTAATTAAAAAGCTAAAATCCAGACAAGCAGAAGGAGAAAATGGAATAACAGCTGAAACACTCAAATAAATTGGAGAATTAGGGACGGAAGTAATGCTTAATACCGGAAAGTGGCCAAATGACTGGAGTAAACTCACGTTTATTCCCATATATAATTAAGGTTCACCGACATATTTCAGTAATTACCGCACAGTGTAATGATTACACACGCGAGCAAAGTACTTCTAACTATCATCAATAAAAGACTAAAATCAATTCTCTTACCACAAATTCCCCAAAAAACAATTCGGATTTGTTCCAGATAGAGGAACAAGAGAACATATTCTTAATATTCGTCAAATTATCGAAAAATCTCGAGGGTTTAACATAGAATCACATTTATGCTTTGTTGACTATTCCAAAGCCTTCGATACCGTAAAATGGGATAAAATGTGGCATAAACTTAGGGAAATGGGTACTCGAGAACATCTAATCTATTTATTACAAAAACTATATGTAAATAATACTGCTAATGTAATAATGTGTATTGGGAATTTATCTTTATTGAACAGCCAGCAATTTGCGTAAAAACAACTCAAATTCCTACAATATATAAAATTAACAATATAAAAAAACTAATTAATTCCCATTACTTACTGTTCTCTTGCTGTCTGCTAAATTATTAAATTATTTAAATTTTTCCCTAATCGGTGACAGTTTGTTTTCTGACGTTTTGATATTATATTTGACATAGTTTATGGAACAGTAGCAACGGGAAATTTTGGGTAACATGATAGAACTAAAAATTAACTAAATACATTTTATACAAATAGTAAGGTATGTATTCAGAAATAAAGCGTCGCCAACATTTATTTGCAAATTGCTCTCTGTATAAATAATTAAATTTAAATACTTTAATGTCTTCGTTTAAAAATCCAATCGTTTATCTCCGTTTGAAGATCTAATTTAAAAAATGATTTGGAGTTAGAGATTCAGATTCTTCAGATTCTATTGGAAGATAAGTAAGTGGTCTTGAATTTACTATGTTTTCTGCAGCTATGAGACAACTACAAAGTAATTGGTCACTAGGGTTCCTGGTTGGTAATGAATCATATAACGAAATTTTAACCGCTTTCACTAGGCGCTCCCAGGCCCCACTCATATGTGGGGAAAGGGGTGCGTTGAAGTGAAATTTTAGCTCTGGGCTAATCAGTGAATTGGCTATTAATTTACTGTCAACCTTTTGCAGTTCTTCTTTCAATACTCGTTCAACTGCAATAAAATTCGTACCTCGATCACAATAAATATGCCTTGGTCGTCCTCTTCTGTTAATAAAATTTGTCAAGCATAGTATAAAACTGTCCACATCTAGTTTGTAAGCTACTTCGAGATGGACTGCTCTAGTCGTGAGACACGTAAATAAAGCTCCCCATCTTTTCTCTGTCCGTCTTCCAACACTAACGTTTATTGGACCAAAATAATCCATACCAGTGTGTGTAAATGGAGCAGTAAATGTTGCAAGTCTACATGGCGGTAGAGGTGAATTTTCTGGTAGTTTTGGCTTAGCAAATTTGACCTGGCAGTTTTGACAGTTAGTCCTAATCTTATTAACTAGTTGTCTAAGTTTTGGTATATAAAATTTTTGTCTTATCTCATTTACTACAATTTCATGATTTCTATGGTGATATCTCTTGTGATAGTCTTCAACAACTGGCAAAGTTAAACGACTTTCTCTCGGTAAAATTATTGGCCTTTCTGTTTCTGAAGTAATATCTCTAGCTTCATCTAATCTTCCTCTTATACGAAGTAAACCATCTTTATCCAGATATGGCGATAATTTAAATAAACTACTTGATTTATAGTTTACTTGATAAACAAGGAAATATTATAGTCAATGAACAAGACAGATTAGAGAGGTCGAAAGAATATATTAAGGAGCTGTTTGATGACGATAGAACAGAAATTCAAATCAAAAATATATCGACTGGTCCAAACATAACACTCGATGAACTGGAAAGAGCTATAAAGCTATCAAAAAATAGGAAAGCAACCGGTCCAGATGAAATTCGAAGCGAAATGATCAAACTGCTCGACGATAAGGGCAAACATTCTCTTCTAAGCCTCTTTAATAAAATATACGAAACAGGACATATACCAACAGACTGGCTACTATCAACATTTGTAATGATACCGAAAAAAATAAATGCCAAACAGTGTAGCGATCATCGCACTATCAGTCTGATGAGTCATGTACTAAAAATTTTCTTAAGAATACTGCACTAGAGAATTAACAACAAAATAGAAGTACAACTAAGTGAAACACAATTTGGTTTCAGAAACAACCTTGGAACCAGAGAGGCACTCTTCAGTTTGCAGGTCATGGTTCAAAGATGCAGGGATATAGGACAACCAGTATATATGTGTTTTATCGACTTCGAAAAGGCCTTTGACTGAGTAAACCATGACAAACTTGTGTCTTGCAACAGGTGAGAATTGATGACCGAGACCTCCGTATTATCACAAATTTGTATTGGCATCAATGTGCAAACATACGAGCTGGACACAATACGACGGAAGCAGTGGAAATACGACGTGGAGTGAGGCAAGGATGTATTCTATCGCCACTACTTTTTAATATATACTCCAAATTTATTTTCAAAGAAGCCTTGGTTGAAGATACAGGCATTAAAATCAACGGAATTAATGTCAACAATCTCAGATATGCAGACGACACGGTACTTATTGCCTCCAATGAAGAAGACCTGCAACGACTTATAAATAGGGTGACCGAAGCATGTGATAAATATGGGCTAAAACTTAAT